ATTCACAAGGGTTCACAAGGGCCTATAACTCCTTCAGGAGATTCAGCTCCCTCTGCAGCCTCCACAGGTACCCACGAACATAACACAGCTTTGTTTCTTGTTTTGTTTTTCAGCAAAATATGGAGATCAAATCTAGAGTCTAGATCTAGGCACACATACACACAACTTTTTTAAAATTTTTTATTTTTATTTTTGCAGTACTGGGGATCAAATCTAGGGCCTAGATCTAAGCAAGCACTCTTCACCTTGATTTTTTCTCCTGTTCTTCTGTTCAGTATTTGTCTGCTTCTATGAGTATTTTTGACATGTACCACTGATGCTTTTATGGTGAACCAATGAGGATATTCTGAGAATATTCTTAATATTTAATGTGTGGAGAACCTGCATCGTTTGTAAGCTTGTTCAAAAAACAAAAAAACTTTGCAAGTAGTAATGTATATACTTAGAATGAGTGAGGTCCTGGGTTCAAAACCTTCAACGGAAACAATTATAATATAGGGCTGGAGAGATGGCTTAGTAGTTAGGAATACTGGCTGCTGTTTCAGAGGAACCAGGGCCATTCCCAGGACCTACATTACAGCTTACAACCTTCTGTAACTCCAGTTCCAGAGGAACTGTTGTCCTCTTCTGGTTTCCATGGGTACCAGGTACACATATGGTACACAGACATACATGCAGGTAAAATGTCTATACACATAAAATAAGTAAAATATTTTTTAGTGTTCTTAACTGCTGAGCCACCTCTCCAGCCCCAGTAAAATAATTTTTAAAAAATTAAAATGAGGGGGCTGGAGAGATGGCTCAGCAGTTAAGAGCACTGGCTGCTCTTCCAGAGGTCCTGAGTTCAATTCCCAGCAATCACATGGTGGCTCACAACCATCCATTATAAGATCCAGTGCCCTCGCTGGGCATTGGTGGCACACGCCTTTCATCCCAGCACTCGGGAGACAGAGGCAGTCGGATCTCTGTGAGTTCGAGGCCAGCCTGGTCTCCAGAGCGAGTGCCAGGATAGACTCCAAAGCTACACAGAGAAACCCTGTCTCGAAAAACCAAAAAAAAAAAAAAAGTTCCTGTGCCCTCATCTGGCCTGCAGGCATACATGCAGGCAGAACACTAAAAACATAATAAATAAATAAACATGATAAGAGGTCTGTGCATTGCAGCAATAACAACTTCCCAATTTTTTTTTTTTTTTTTTGGTTGTTGTTGTTTTCAAGACAGGGTTTCTCTGTATTGTTTTGGAGCCTCTCCTGGAACTTGCTTGGTAGACCCTGCTAGACTCGAACTCACAGGGATCCACCTGTCTCTGCCTCCCAAGTGCTAGGATTAAAGGCGAGCGCCACCAATGCCTGGCAGAACTTCCCAAATTTTACTCTTCATTTATTTGAGTGTTCACCAAGGTTGGAGTGTGGATGGACATCAGGAGTTAATTCCCTCCGTTCCCACACAGATTCCAGGATTCCAACTTAATTCATCAGTTTTGAGCCTTTCCACTGAGTGAGCCATCCCCCTGGCCCTGCGCCTTTCCCACTGACCCTGCTTCTTTTCTTGAGATGATGTCCTGATTCATGCTGACTTCTATCTTTGAGGCATGGACTTCCTGCCTCCACCAACTCAACTCAGCGGTTGGGACCATAGGTGACACCACACCCAAACTCAAATTGTTGATTTTGATACTGTACTACAGTTATGGAAGATGCTATTGTTAGGGAAAACTGAACAATGGTATTCAAGAGTCTGCGTTTGGGGCTGGAGACATGGCTAGTCGCTAAGAGTGTGCATTGCTCTTCCAGGTGATCTCAGGTCCCAGGACCTACATTAAGTGGCTCACAAGAGTAATTCCAATTTCAAGAGATCCAAAGCCTCTAGATTCCTCAGGTGTGCTCTCAAACTCACATACATGATTTTTTTTTTTTAAGTCTTCTTTTTGAAACTACACCTGACTCTGTGAGGTTTGTTTTTCTATTTTTTTTTTTTTTTTTGGAAGTCTTGGGTGGCTCAAGCCAGACCTAAACTGACTCTTCACTCCACCTGCCAAGTGCAGGGATCCTAAGCAGGCAGCATCATTCCCATCTTCTGTTTCTTGAAAAGAAAATGTTTGTATGTGAAACTTGCCTGACTTGAGGGCTGACATTGACCTCAAACTATGCTTAACTGAGGTGGCTACTTATTGATGAAGACCCACCTACTTATAGAATAGTTACTGTGATTTAAGATGTACTTTAGAGGAAGAGCAAGGATTGTGTGAGGGCCTGGATTCAACCCTCAGTATCCAAAGAACAAGAAAAAGGTGTATCTGGGGGACATGAAGAAGGATGAGTCTTTGGTAACAAACATTTTTAATGCTATATCCCTCCCCCTTCCCCACCCTGGAAACACTGTGTAGCTCTGGCTGTCCTGGAACTCACCACATAGACCAGGCTAGCCTTGAACTCACAGAGATCTGCCTGTATCTGCCTCCCATATGCTGGGATTAAATTTGTGCACCACTACACCCAGCTTTAATAACTTTGCATTCAGAAGCCATGGGACTAAAACTATTTGTGGCATTCCACTTAGTGCCTATCCATTTACTTTATCTCAATATGAATATGAGCACAGAATTCTTTGAAGAGGCCCTTTACAATTGTTTTACTCCCTCTCGTATCGCTCTTGGGTATTTCCTGTTTAAGCCCCATTGTTCCAGCTACTGGGATCTCTAGAGGCACACCAGCAAGTCTTTTCATAGTTTCCTGTACCACAGTCAGGCTGGTCTGTCCTCACGATCCTTGGATTGGAGATGCTACCATGCCCCATGCCTGGCTCTTTACTCATTTCCCACCATTGCTGAGAAGTATTCCTAGATTCCTCAATTCCCCCGTCCTACCTTCCAGTGAGCTTCAACAGGCAAAATTAACATTATAGCTTAGGGTTCCTGCCACAACCTTCACAAAGTGTGTGGTGGTGCTGGCCTAAAATCCCAGCACTTGAGAGGCAGAGACAGAATTTACAAGTTCAAGACAAAAAAAAAAAAAAAAAAAAAAAAAAAAAGATTGAGCCCCAGGCAAGTCTGGACACATAGCAAGACCCTGTCTCAATACCACTACCACCACACAAACAACCACCCACAAAAAAAATTACCTCTGGGCTGGAGAGATGGCTCAGCTGCTAAAGAGCACTTGGTGCTCTTCCAGAGGACCAATGTTTGATTTGCAGCATTCATATGGTGGCTCCCAAACATCTGTTTCAGGGGACCTGTCCACCCACTTCTGGCCTCCACAAGGGCATCAGGCACAAACAATATGCAGCCATACATGCAAGCAAGACACCTATACACATAAAATAAGAATTATGCCACTAAAATTGCCACTATTTCTGTAAACACCTATTCCCATTGGACTGACTGGCCCCTGAGAACAGACTTTTGTAACCATTATCTTTGAGTTTTCAGTCTTGCAACAATGTCACGGTGAATGTATTTAGTAAGTATCCAGTGACCGAAGCAGTTGAACTAAGGCCTCTGCATAGCCTCCTCCTCTGTAGTTTGGGTGGCTATAGCAGACCCAAGTAATTCATTTCGGGCCAGAGATGGTATTCTGCAGTTAGCAGAAGCACTTGGTGATTCTGCTGGTAGAGTTCTGTCCCCTGGTTAGGTTCCCTTTGGATGTGTATAGTTTCTTTATCTTTTGTTTGCTTGTTTGTTTGTTCTGGTTTTGGGGACAGTGGGGTTCAAGACAGTTTCTCTGGGTAGTTCTGGCTGTCCTAGAACTTGCTCTGTAGACCAGGCTGGCCTCGAACTCAGAGATCTGCCTGCCTCTGCCTCCTACGTGCTGGGATTAAAGTTATGCAATGCCACCACCACCAGAGTTTCCTTATCTTTTAATTGAACATAAAATATGCATCTCCTCGAAGGACTGTTGGGAAGATCGAAACAAATACTTCATGAAAACCTGGCAGAGGACAAAAATAAGTTTCTTGTGTTGACTATTGTCTGTCAACCTGACACATGCTGCAGTCATTTGGGAAGAGTGAACTTCAATTAAGAAAATGCCCCCTACAAGATTGGCCTGTAGGGCATTTAATTGATTAGTGCTTGATGTGGGAGGGCCCAACCTTTTGCAGGTGGTGTCATTTCTGGGCAGGTGTCTCCTGGACGGTATAAGAAAGTGAGCCGAGTGGGGCAGTGGTGGCGCACGCCTTTAATCTCAGCAGGCAGGAGGCAGAGGCAGGTGGATCTCTGTGAGTTCGAGACCAGCCTGGTCTACAAGAGCTAGTTCCAGGACAGTCTCCAAAGCCACAGAGAAACCCTGTCTCGAAAAACCAAAAAAAGAAAAGAAAAGAAAAGGAAAGAAAGTGAGCTGAGCAAAGTATGAGGAATAAGCCACTAAGCAGTGACTCCTACTTTCCGGGTTCCTGCCTTGAGATCCTGTGACGACCCCTCAGTGATGGGAGTGTGACCTGAGAGTGGAAGGAAGCTGAAACAAATCCTTTTCTCCCCAAGTTGCTTTCGGTCATGGTGTCTTATCTCAACAATGGAAACTCTCTAAGACACCCACCCACCCTTCAAAGGTATTCCCGTGGAAAACAAAGCAAAGGGTGAAAGCAATGAGTCTGGGGCCGGCTGCTGTTCCACTGTTGAGCACCTACGAGGCGTCTCCGTACCGTGATGAGTCAGAGACCGTCTTCTGGAATTTGAGTTTTCAGGGAGGGAGGCTTGGAAATGGTAGCGGCGACGGTACTCCAGGCACGAGACTCGATGGGCATCCTAGTTTCACGCCCCACAAGTGCTCGCCCAGAAGCTGGCCCACAAGCGCTCGCTGGAATCCGTGGTGAGCGCCGCTCCTCGGAGCTCCCCGTCGCGTGGCTGACCACGACACCGAATCCGGTCGTTGCCGACTCTAACCGGT